GTTTAACGGATTTCTTTTTCTCCGTGCCATCGGTTTCCGATGTTAAAGGAGCTCTTCCTTTGAAAAAGATTGGCTATCGTACGATCCATTTGCGCCAATCCCACTGCATTTATGACATACTTCCACCGTTACAACCCATCGTAGAGAACGTAATTCCACTTAGCAGATTTTTCCACAGAATTTGACACTATATCAATTTTAGACATAAAAAATAGCCGTTTCTATTTAAAATAAATGATGTTGACCTAAAAATGACTTCTAGGAGTGATCATCATGAAAACACGACGGTCTGCATTTTCTTTTCCCCTTTGAAACCAACAACTTTTTACCGAAATAATTTTCGCTATCTTTCGCCGTTTACGAAATATTAGCTTGGATTAATTAAAGTGGGACACTTTATGCAGTGCCTACCGACTCAGAAATCAACGTTTTGAGAAATACTTGCGCCCCCAACCGATTATGGGCATTTCCGTGCACCCACGATGTAATTCGAGGCACAATCTGGGTCAGTAGGCAATTCTGACTATTGCGAATAACGTAACATATATATCTGCATACACAATGTTCGAAGATCGAAGAGACTAGCGAAGCCAATCGGCGGTCAACAAGAACAATGTAGCCGTTCCATCTGTGATTGCGGCCACCTGCACGCTTCGACTTCCTTTTATTAAAATTCCATACAGCTGTTATTCTTTAATATTTTAGTCAAGAACCTTCAAAAATAAATGAACATTTAATATATACCTGCTAAGAATCAATTGTTTGATTGACCTTCGTGCACTTGCCCCCTTTAAAAGACGATAACGTGATAACATAAGCTGGCGCGTCACGCTACCCACACGGACAACTAGATATGGTATACGTATATAGGATATCTGGCTAAAACATTCAGATGTGTAATGGATGTATATAAAAGTATACGAAATATGCTGGGGCATGTACAAATGTCCGCGCCGTCAACCTATAGTATATGTATTTTTGAACATTCCACTTTCATTTAATATAAACTCCATATGGATAAAGTATGTATATTATATATAAACAAGATATATGGTAGACGTATTATGTACAGTAGCGCATATAAGATATCTGACACAGACGTATATACGTATAATAAACCAATAAATAACAGTTTCAATAGATGGTATGTCTATATTCAAAAGTCAACAGCCGTACACTAGACATATTATTCACGTATAATATTATACGTATTTTATACATATATAAGACGTATTCCAAATGTAGGTGGAATAATTTAAAAAAGTATATATAGTATAATAAATATACAAAAACAACACCTTTGGTGTTAAAAAACCTTGCGCCAAATATACCTTCTTTTCAAATTTGTTTTCTCATAAAGCATACTCTTTAAAAACTGACTTATAAACCAAAGATTGTGTGACAAAAATAAATAAAATCGGTTTAACTGACAAAGAATACAACGAATTTATACGAAAATGGTATCCTTCCATTATCCACCGAGGAAAGCATTGAAATCAATTACCTTTGCCAAATACGTGCATTGATTCTTATGACCGCAAGAAGGTAAAGTCAATTCATACCAAAATTGTATCATTTTCCATTATTCCCCAGAGAAGCAATTAAATCAATTACTTTTGGTAAATACGTTAATTGATTGTAATGACCATAAAAAGGTAAAGTCAATTCAGTTTATTTCCATCATAAATAAAGTAATAATGATTAATTTTACAAGGGTAATCGAATCAATGTCACGTACTAAATACTAAATCTAAACCAAATAGATGAATTGATTGTAATTCGCATATAGGACGTTTAGTGAAATCAAATACAAATTGAGCAACAACTGAGACCAAATTAACTAAGTGAACACACTTCTAATCATTAAATTACGTCAAATCATTTTAAAAATATCAGGTACTGATGGACTGAGGAAATTAAGTGAAATCAATTACACGTAATGAACGACTAGAAATGTTAATTATGAATTAAATAAAGGGCGACATAACGAAGCTAAATAGAACTTAGTAATGAATGCAATTTGAATCCAAAATAATTAAATTAAATGTGAATATCAACATCCGCGTTGAATTATTTAAATGCAATGCATGCAAATTCACCAAAGAATCCAAAGAGGCACGTAGGAAATATTTATGTTGGGATTAGAGAAACGCGAGGTGAAAACATAACGTAATTCCTAATCTTTTGATAATGATCGAGGCAGGATCGCAACGGCATTTCGTAACTCTAGTTTGTGACAAAGTTGATTCACTAGGGGTTCGTTGATGAGGGTCTTCTAACCCTGGCTTTTAAATAGTGCTTACTCTCGTCTCGTGTCCGACTCGGAAGTCGACTTACAATTAGAAGTGTTCTGATTAATTCACATTTCCCTTAGGTAGGGAAGGGATCAAGATACCTCCTATGGAGGGGCATCGATTTCGCTGATTTTTATGGTGAATCATTACGAATCGCTGCACGTGATGCTGACTCGTGGTCCTGAATCAGCGTCTCGCGCCACGGGTCGAAGTTAAACGTAATTTTTCCCAGTATATTAAATTACGCGGATGCTTACTCGCCTCCAGGTGTTTCCTTCACCCATTTCCTTTTATTTTTCTATCGGTATTTTTTCCTAGGACGTAACAAAGATATGTTCTTTTTATAAAAGTATATCCATAAATAAAGAAATCATGGCTGATCTCCCGAAGGTCTTCTGAAAAAAAATGCTTTATGATGATCACTATTGTTCGGTATCGGATCAACGGAAATAAAACATTCAAAACGATTTATTTAATAAAATAGTTTATCTAGTCTTTGAACGAAGGACTTTTCAAAATATTGAATCGCAACAAATTAGAGGACGTGTGAATGTAATGGTCCCACACGGACAACTAGATATGGTATACGTATATAGGATATATGGCTAAAACCTTCAGATGTGTAATAGATGTATACAAAAGTATACGGAATGTGCTGGGGCATGTACAAATGTCCGCGCCGTCAACGTATAGTATATGTATTTTTGAACATTCCACTTTCATTTAACATACATTCCATATAGATAAAGTATGTATATTATATATAAGAAAGATCTATAATAGACGTGATAAGATATCTGACACGGACGTATATACGTATAATAAACCAATAAATAAAAGTTTCAATAGATGGTATGCCTATATTCAAAAGTTCAACAGTCGTATACTGGACATATTATTCACGGATAATATTATACGTATTTTATACATATACAAGACGTATTCCAAATGTAGGTGGAATAATTTAAATAAGTATTATTTATTTTTCACTACAACAAAACAATAATCAAAGGTAAAGTGCATTTAAAGCTTATAATCGCTGCGCAAGAGTGGCACAAGATATTAGAGATTTTTTTTAGGATTATTTTAATGTGCCAGGAGCGATTGCATTTCAATATGATTGAAGTAGAATTTATGAAGAACAATGTTTTGTTGAAAACAAAAACATACTCGTATTTAATTCGATGGCGATTTCTTCCCATTTTCGCATTTTCACATATCGATTCTAATCGTTTGTATTCATCTGGTTGCAAATAACAGATCCTTCACGAAACAGCTCAATTAATATTTTTTCTCCATGATTATTATCAGATATTAGAATTCTAGTATATTATACGTCTAGAAGAGAAATCAGACAATTGCAAGACGAGGGTGAAGTGTACAGGACGAGTCAGAGCGCAGTCGAGTGCCACAAATTTCACACGATATGCAAATGCCCGTTTCTCATTGAAACGCACACAATATTGTTTGTAAAATTCGTAAGGATAATGGGAGGAAAGTGAAAGTAGAAACATTCTGGGTACAAAAATCTCAACCGTCCAAAGTACGCATACACAAACAAGATGTTTCGCGCTCACTGGTCGGAAATCAACCATTTTCAAAAAACTATCGGCGTAGAAACTCCCAATCTCTATACAGTTTATCAAGAAATATGTTCGTGCACAGCAAAAAAATATTGAGAAGCTAAGTAGGTTATTTAAATAAATTCAAAAAAATGTACAAAGTAATTTTAACCGAAGTATGGCTCTTTAAAAGTGAACGGTGCGAAACATATTCATCGAACTCATTATTTTATACAAGTTTAAACGAAAAAGAAATTTTTCTCGACGTCTCTACGGTACGTGGTTTCAAATAGGTGCTTATTCTCCTCGACAATATGCTCCAAATGAGTGCAAATACCTTCAATTATTGACTTTCACGAGATTTCACTTGTCCCCACTAATCGTGAATGTTTACTCTATATCCCGTGTATTTCGAGTTCTGCCCCAGGGGTGGTTTGCTCCCGGGATAGGCTCAAAAGCTTTTCAGACCACTAGTGAACCTTCCACTTGTATTCGGTTGCCTCCGCGATTACGAAATCATAAGAAACCCAGTTATTAAACGAACACTCGCGACTTTGGAAAATGGGGTGGTTTCCACCAGGAACGAGTTTTTTTTTCCCACCAAGAAACCCTTGGTGTTTTTTCCACCAGAAAACAATTTTACAAAGAAATTAAAACATAATCTGAAATGCTTTAAGGGAATATTCTCGTATAACTGACTAAAAAAACACAATTTTCATGAATTTTAGATAAGAAAATTATATCGGCTATAGTCGAAACTGTTTTTTTTTTTTTTTAATATAAAGAGACATCCTTTAAGTTTCCTTTAACTTCAGTGTCCTCCCTTAACGTTTGAAATATTTCACTTAAGTATCGAAAATGAATACTTTTTGTTCATCAAATAATTTGAAAATCGACGTTTAGTCGAGTTTCATTAAAATGTGTTTTCAGCTTCGAATCGGTTGAACAACAAGCCATTCTAATATAATCTATAAGCCCTTCAAGTTCGAAATTTCTGTGTCTACTTTTACATCGAAGCAGAAAAAACTAGCGTTAGTTGAAAAGCGTAGAAAAATGTTCCCGTATACAAGTATTCTGTCTAGTTAGTAAACTTCGGATGATTCCTTTACTGAATGAATAATAAGAAGCGTAATGCTGTTTTCAGAATTCGTCCATGCTCTTGGCGAACCTGGCATCGACGATGACGACGAGGACGACGAAGAGGACGCCCAGTCTCCTGCCTACTAAGATCTTATTCAGCCTCCCTAATTCGTCTCCGGATAGAGTAATTTAATGTTGCCGTCGACGCACTGCATTCGCCGAAGTTTCAAAAGCTTTGCTCGGTTCTTCCCGTAAACTTGTTTATGGCTGAAACTTGTAACGTTCAAAGAGTTTTTAGTCGCGTTGAAAAATGGCTAAATGAAATTGTCATCTGTTCTGCAGATGGGAGACACTTGCGAAAGAATGGCATGGGGCTAATGGCACATGGCGGCCATGAGAAAACCCAAGTTCCGTTGGTTCCACAATTTTTTCTTTAAATCATTCTTATGCCAATTCTAATATCGTCCCATGCGTTCGAGACCGTGGAAGGGGATATCAAATTAGGAAAGCATATTCATGGGATATTTCAATGTTCGAGGCATTAGTGCAACACAATGTACAATGGAAATTTCTCGTTAATAATTCTATTTACTATTTGATAAAATTGGTTTATCAAAGCTCAAATATCTAAACACACTCAAATTCTTATTAACTCGGTAACATCTGCCCATGATAAGAGCAAGAAAAGAAACGTTACAGCTTCTAAATGTTTTAACGAAATAAATAGTACAAGGTTGTTCACTGTAACATGTTGATATACAGTCCGCTTCGTGGGTATTTACGTACTTCACGTATCTACATTTCTGTAAAGAAGCAGAATGTCGCATTAATATACTTGTTCAGTATTTCCTGTCCTAACCGATCGAAATACCCCCAAAACTGTATAATTCAATTCGTTGTTACGTAAATATGGTTATTTTGTAAAAGTATGTATTTACTACTTTTAGCCGGTTCTTTAAAATTAGACATCATGCTATTTCGATAATATTCCGTGATCTATTTAAAAACGTCCACCAACGACAGCATTAAATTATTTTCTAATTCCACGTTGCTTTTTAAAAATATATCCTTCGCGCGAAAAAGCTTTTACTTATTAATACTGTCTATCGCTCAACTTCCTTCCGAACACGTTTTAAATCACCGAAACAAATTAGAGGCTACTAATTATTCATGCTTTTCAATATAAAAGCTTAACATCAGCGTTTCCATGGATTCTTATGACGTAATTAAGAGTTAAACATAGCATTAACGTAAGTAAGGCAATGCAGTGTTGATCATGTATAAATAACAGCACAATAATGTTACATAAGATATACTTCTACACTATTTCCTTCGTGCAAAATAGCTTTTACTTATTAATATCATCTATCGCTCAACTTTCTTCCTAAAACCTTTCAAATCGACTTCAAAACAGATGAAAGGCTAGTAAATATTCATGTTATTTAATGTAAAAGCTTAACGTCGGTGTTTCTTATTGTATTCTTATGATATAATAAATAGTTAACCATAATATTAACATAAATAAGGCAATATAGTGTTGGCCATATATAAAGAACAACACAATAAATTTACATAAAATAGAATTCTACACTATTTCCTCGCTAATAAGAGACAAACGACAATGCCGAGAAATGTAGTATTTTCATTTATTCAACATTAAAAAACATTTTCTTTCTGCAGACATTGTGACTTTTGTTACGGTACCACCGGTATTAAATATTGAGATTTTAATGGCATGCTTTTCCTTTTTGGAAATATTATACATACGCACAATAGATTTCTTATTAAAAATATTACTTCACAAAGTAAGTAATATAGTTTTTATTACCTACTTACGAAAATAACCTGATTAATATTAAACTTATAAAAAGAAGGCAACAATCTGTTTGAGTTAATAAAAAAATCAAGTCGTAATGATAAAGACTAAAGAGGAAAATTTATAATTTTTAAAATATAACTATATACTACGGTCTTTAACAGGGCTTATTTATCAATTTTAATTATAACAATTTACCTTATTCTTACAATAGCTTCCATCACCTTGAGTGCGTGAAACTAAGTTGCTATCATAGAATATGCATATATGTACTATGACCACCTTCAATTAAATAGTCACGTACATTTACATAAATTCACAATATTTACATACATTCAAGAAGATGGCGAATGTTACTAATCTGAATTGCAACGTATAATCCATCGGTCATTAAGACGGTGATGAAATTTGATAAGGGATAAATTTATTTGTTCCATCGGCAGTAACTCCTAAAATTACCTAGAATCTGCAATTATTATTACAATCTGGAGAAAACGTATGGAGAAAAAGTATAATGAATGAAAACCTTATTAAATTTGCATTTGAAGCCAACAAACTGTATCTTTGCCATTTAAGTTTTTACTTTCAGTTTGCTCAATTTATTTTTTGGCCAACTGATTTGTGAACGTTTATATAAACTCATGCATGGAAAATTCAACGTTGAGTAGAGTCACGCGTGAATTTTCTTCATTAAAAGAATCGAAAAACGCAAAAAAATATCGAATGATTTGATATACGAAGAAACACTTGTTCGAAAGTAGCAAATTATTCCTATAACTTATATCGATAGTTTCAGATAATTTATCACATGTTGTAGTTATTAAATTATATGTTATAAAATTACTGAACAATATGACACAACAATCTCTATATTTCATTTCATTCAACCGTTACAAAATAATGAACAACAAATTTACAAAATCGTGATCACCTTTTGATATTTCTATTCTTATATAAATGTACGATAATTAACAATCCGTACAGTGGCGTAACCATCGAGAGAGCGGATAATCCATGGGCTTGAAAAGCTTAATGTAGTTAGAGTGCAATTTAATATTATCAAATTTGTACAAATAAACAACGAAATAGAACAGCACAACTTGAGAACTTAATAACGGTAATATTTCTTAATCCTGTATTCATTATATTTACAGTCGATTTGATTATATTGTAAAAACGTAAAATTAATTTGTAGTCGTTCGCATTTAATTGAGAATATTACCGAATGTATATGTATATCCCGGTCGAGGGTATTACTTTCTTAAGCATTTTGAATTTGAACAATGGCGAGAATAGTTCTTAATGTATATTAAAAAATGTGAGTCACATATTTATCTTGACATAAGAAGTTAGACAAACTTTGTTACGCCACTGATACGGTACATATAAAATACCCTTGAAAATAACAATGGAAATCATATTAACATAAATGCTGGGGATAATTTCCGAAAAATTTGTCCGATTTAATTTAATGTTCACCGTGTATATTCTTCGTTACTCTTTTTTTTCTATCCGCCTTCCTAACGAATGCATTCTCTCGGGTACCACACAAGAAAATGAATACACCCAGTGGACAACTTTACTATTGGTATGCTTAGAATATTTAAATATGCAAATTACAAATTGGATATATTCAGAAACGTTTTTTCTTGTTTTGCTCTCGAATATTCGAACTAAAAACGCTGAACTTACCTGTACGGCAATCGGATCTATAACGCAAAACAAGTTACATATGGACGGTATTAGTAAAAAGTAATTAACAAACTATGTCATTGTAAGTAGAATTGAAGATTTACGAAAATTCACAATCACGTTGCAAACTGGTCGCAAGTGAACATTCTGGTCTCATGCGCACGTGACGACGTTTAAGACCATTCCAAGGCACGGACAAAGTGGGGATGCAACACTCAACTGAAACATAAAAGTTACGATGTCGCAAAAGTGATTGAATTCAAGTTTCGAACATTAAGGAAATGAAATTGTACAAAGTAGTAAACAGCGTTACATTCCCTCCACATTTCCCCGCGCTTCGACATAGCGGAAAGTTAAATTAGAAAAGAAACGGTCGGAGCTATTCGTTCCTTATAATGAAGGATATTCTCATTTGTCTAATAATTTACTTATACTAGAGATTAACGGTTTTAATTTGCTAGGTGTATTTCACGTTACACTTGATCCGATCGTGAAATTAGAGCTTCTATTATCCAATACGTCCCGGAACAAAGTGGCGATATAAAGAAAGCGTTATAAACGTGTAGCGCATGAAAGAATTTTCCAATTGAGCCATCATTTATTGCAATAGAATGAAATTACGTGCATTCGGAAAGAAAATGTTTCAAAGGCAAGTGTTGGGGCATCTCACGTATTCAGTTCTTTATACATGCGCTGCGTACCTTAGCCCTAATTTTATTTAGTCTAATACATAATATTCGCGAAGAAATTGAATAATTGTAATCACCTGCGACCCATTTTCTGATCATTGCACATTTGGAGGCATGTAGGATTAAATATTATTATGACTTCGCAGCATTTGACTCTAAAGAACGAAAGGCATCATTCACTAGCTTCAAAGAAGATAACAAAGAAAATATTTATGACGTGAAACAGTTACAGGAGCAAAAACTACGGTCATTTTTAAATATTGTGGCAGCGATGCTGTGCATACGAAATTGTTTTATAAGTGATCTCTTGCCACTTAGAGATGGTCAAAATGTATAGTCGATTAAAAAGCATTTCTTGCGCACACGAATATATAAACTACGGTATCAGCTCTTTCCCGACACAGATCACGTACAGTCATTGTTTTCTGTTAAATCGAGCAAAAAAGCGGATCAGAATTTTGAATTGCTAAAGCAAGGTCGCCGTTTCGATAAGAATGGAATCTTCTTGGGAGTTTCAAGTAGGAAATAACGAGTGCTGCCGCGCGACGGCAGAGCGCACAAGTTTTGAAATCAGCGCCGCCGATAAGGTAGACCGCGAGTGCCGGTTGGTAACCTACCGATTGCGGCCGATAAGACTCCAAGGGTAACTAGTGGCTCGAATTCGCTTATTGGCAGAGCACACGTTTTTATGAACACTGTAACGTATTTTAAACTGAGACGTATCCATAACTTCGTACATAAGTAACTGTTTCATCGCTTGTCTCGTGTAGATATTATGACAATGATTGGTTATTACCTTCAAAGTTAGACATTTAGTACGTAACCACGACATTAAGTACGTAACCTGTCTAAATTGGTCCCATTCCCTAAATATAAACATTCGCATTAGAAAAATATACACGGAGAAAAATGTATGGTCAAAATTTTTCGAACTTCTGGCCATCATTCCT